ACAGCGTAAACAGCATTGTGTCTTTAGCGGCATTATGGGCTGAGGAACGAAACAGCTATTGTGTGAGGGATGCTGTCCTGGAGGGCTGAACATGGCTCTTGGGAAAGAGATGAGCAAGGAGAAGCTGTGGTCTCTGGAGGGTGGGAGTGTGCAGGTTATCAAGGAGTTGGCTCCCCTGCCAGCTTAGACTCTGCTCTGCAGCGAGTGCCTCGCACACGGACTTGCTGCAGCTCCCATCAGGGACCATCCCCCTTCACTGCTGTGCAACTCGTGCGTGAATCCAAGGGGAGGGAAGGGGGATTGAGCTCCATGCTCTTCAGCCTGGAGGACTCCTGATACCTAGCCAAAAATCACCTTCCTTCCCTGTTTTTTTTCTTATGAATGAGCTTTTTGATTTAAAGTAAAGCTGAACTGCCTCTGATTGTCTTGGTGGTAATGTTGGGACTATCTAGATTCAAGGACAAGAGGTAGCCGGTGTGCTAACCCCCTCAACAGAGCACGCAGGCAGCTGGCCCGAGCCATGTAAATAGTTAAGGCAGAGTGATGGGGCCGTCTGCATGCAGAGAGCGCTGGGAAGCAAAGTGACACATCATACAATGAATTTGCACAATTCCATTTAAAGACAGACTGCTATTTAAAGTACTTCAGTGAAGTATGATGTGCCTACAAGCCAGAGCTGGAATAAAGTCATGATTCATTCTGGGACATACTGGGCCACTTCATAGCTCCTGGCTGGAGTTTTCAAAGCTGCTGAGGCAAAGTTACTCTTTTTGTTTCTTTCACTTGTGATTTATTTTTCTCATACTGTAATAAATTGAAAATATATTTGGTCAAAATTTTGCTTTTCACTGCTGTTCTGTATGCACAAGCGTTATTCCAGGGAGACACCATGCTGTAGCTGTGTAATCAGCGTTGCTGTTACACTAAGAAATGCAGTTTGCTGTACTTCACATGTCCTGTGTTTTGTAATCATTTCTCCTAACGTATGTCTTCTTGAATTCTGTAGAAATTAATGGAATTTGTTTTCTTTTTAATGGAGTGAAGCTGGCAATTAAATGGAAATAAATCTGTACTGAGAAAAAAATGCTGCTGTTTTTCTTGTAGTTAATGCTTTGCACTTTCTTCCAGAAGTGTCCCGCAACGTGTTGCCCTCCTGTGGCTGTCACCTGCTGACTGAGTCCTTCCTCGTCTCTGCTCTGTGATGGTTAAATTTTTGTTTTGGGTATTTGGGGCAAGATTTTTAATGTTTTCATCTGCTTTCAAAATTCTTTGCAGTTTTTCTGCTTAACTTGTTTAGTGATCTGAAGTTAAACAGGACACATTGGTGCCAAGACTGGGTGTCTGTTGGTTAAGCCTTGACTTTGTGTCATTTTGGTAGTTCAGTGAATCATTGCCCATCAAGACTTGCGTGGAGGCCCACATCTTCTTGGTGTAAAGTGACTTTGACACAAGATTGATTTTAAGGGTTACTTTGACCACCCAAAAAGGGACTTCAGGTAAGAAAA